TTTTTTTTTTTTTTTGGTACCAGGGATCAAACTCTGGTCCTTGCGCTTGCATAGCAGGAGGCGAAACCACTGAGCTAAATCCCCAGCCCATCAAGCTGCCTTTGTAAGATAGCTCTTCCAAAATTCATATGCTGAATGTGGTGGCGCATGTCTATAGTTCTAGCTACTGGAGAGGCTGAGGCAGGAGGATTGCAAGTTCTAGATCAGACTGGGCAACTTAATGAGACCCTATTTCAAAGTAAAATAAAAAGGACTGGGGGTATAGCTCAGTGATAGAGCAGTTGCCTACCATGTGTGAGGCTCTGGTTCAGTATCTAGTACCACACACACACAGGCAGCGAAAGATTGGTCTTACTTTTCTGATAGACACTGTGGCTGCTGTTACTGGGGTCATCGTGAGTGTTGTAGTGAATTCTCCCTATGCTACACTCCCTGTGGGGCTTTCTCTTCTAGACAGAGCTGGCACACAGTAGGCCCCAGTCATCCTGGAAATGCCTCCATTTGAGGCCTGATCTGCAGATAGGCTGTGGCTGCTTCTCTCTACCTATAATAGCCAAGCAGCCTTGGCCTTGAGCATCCTTTCCCCAGAGGCCAAGGCTCTTCCTCTCTTGCCTTGGGGTCTGATTCCTAAATAGCCACAGGAGCCAGCCCTGGGTTGTTTTTGGTCCTTTATGTATTCCACTCAGTCACCAAGTATTTATTGAATGTGTAGTTCTGGATGCCAGAGAACAGCACTGGGCCTAGCAAGGAGGGCAGCTGAGGAAAGATAGCCTGAGCAGGCTGTGAGGAAGGCTCTGGAGGAGGGAGTGTGCAGGCCCCTGCCCAAGGCCTGAAGGGTGGGCACATGGGCGGCTGTGGTGCCGAAGGAGCTAGCCAGTTTGGCTGGAGGGGGGAGTGGGAGAGAGGAGGGTGGCAGGGCCAGGACCCAAGCTGTGATGGGGAGCCAGGGCTTTAGCAGGAGAAGGGATAGCAAGGTGGGTAGAGAGACAATGCGGCCTGGAGCTGGCTCTATGCAGGTAGTAGCCTGGGAGATGGGCGAGGGCAAGGAGCAGACCCCACTTTGCTTTGGAGTCTGAGTCCCATAGGGCCCAGATTTTCAAACAGGTCCGGAGGCTCAAGGCAAAGCATCTGCAGACCTTTTTTTGCTGTGTTTCATTTAGATGATATTTTCAGAAAGTTAATAACCTGTTGGGAGTTGCCTGGATGATTCTTTCCTAAGCACCTAGTGACCATATTAACATAAGCCACTTCTCTGGTCTTGAAGGTGGCTCAGGATGGCCCTTGACTTCAGAGTTGGCCTTTGTGTAATTGCTGCCCTTCCCCAGGCACTGGGCTTATCCCCAGCTGAGCACAAAGCATATCAGCGGGTCCCTATGACACTGAGGGGTTGTCCAAAAAATTATCTTTTGAGGTAGCACAAGCATATGCTTTGTCCCTTGATCTTCAATCCTGTTTTACAGCTGAGGAAGCTGGAGTTCGGAGGAGTGCCCTGTGCATCCTTGAAGTGGTGGAGTCAGGACTGGACTTGACTTGAGGGGTGAACTGGATGTGAATTCTGGCTCAGTTCTGGTGGTGCGAGCATGGTTGGGGTGCAGGAGAGAGGGGCTTAGCTAGGGAGCTTCTTGTGGCCAGGCCAGAGTCCTTTGCCCTCTGGGGTTGAAGAGAATCACACCCACTGCTTCTTGCCTTAGGAAACTTAAGGAGCAGTGAGGGGTCTATAGAGCTGGACCTTCACTCTGGCACTACTGGCCACACTTGGCTATTTGTGTTTTAGTGAATTAAAATTAAGTAAAAGTAAAATTGCTGTTCCTCAACTGTTCTTG